AAACTGCTAACCAATTATATGGCTAGCAGTTTCAGCGATTCGCCACGGATGGCGCCACCGGTCGAAAGTATAATGGCATTCCGCGATTAAATGCGATTTTTACAGTGTTCTGGTTGTTTATTGCTATTTTCAATGACAGGAGATTAATCTACGTTCTTTTAGCTTCAAACTGAATGCTTGATCAAGACGTAACTTGTCCATAGAACGTTGGAAGAGCTATTTAAAGTGAACTAAACGGGGTACACATGGCGAGATACAGTGTAAACTGTTGCAAACAAATCGTCGAAAACAACCTTAAAACAATTGCATGAATTTATCAATGACCATTTTTAGAAGGATCTATCCACTTAGTACAAATTGCAAGGGAACCCAATAAACAATCTATCGATTAGAGAATACGTATATTTTTACCGTAGATCACTAGTCGCAAATTAAATAATCTTTAACGCATTTCCTGTGGTCATTTCATCGCGAATCTCTTAAATTACGGCTCAGAGTATATCGATTGAGCCCCAGTAATTAATAATTAAAAAGAATACATTATTATCTATTGATTGTCATTCGATCAAAAACGGAAGTTAGCCGATCGAAGACTGGTCCCGGTTGTGGGTGTACTAAGAGAAACGTGGCACACGATCGGGGGCATCAATTTCCCAAAATTTTATTACTGAAACTTCTCATTGCACATATACATTATTCTTACAAATTACACTGCTGCATCTACACGAGCATTACATACATTTATATAATATCGTATAGAAATATTACAAACAGGTACAAAAACTACTCTACATTCCTTGTCGTACGTTATCATCTTACTTAAATCATGGATTACAGAGTACCGGATGGGTTGCTCGTTAGGGATCCATTTCTTTTTTTTTTACCAGGAAACTGCTGTCTCTATCCAGCTCCAGATGGTCAACCCTTCATATTCGTAGACAGTTTTTAATACTGAATTCGAAGAAATCGATAATATATACCCTACGCTACTCAGATAGAAAAATAAAACGGAATTCCCGAAATCGTCTAAAAAAGCAATTATTAAAATGTCTACCCAACTTTCAACAAAGTTCTCGCAACGTCTCCCCTCCCCATCCTCCACCCTCATTCAAAGATAAAGGTTTAATCTGTCTCTTCGGGCGGAATATGCAAATCCTACAGTAATTGATCGTTCGATTAATATTAATCGGGTCGCTATTCATCACAATGGACACTATATGCGGCTATGTACAGTATTCGTCTCGCTTCTCCCACCTATACAACACTTATCAGTTAACTATGAATGTTTATGCAGATATCCATACTTTCATAAATTACGTTTGAAAGACCAGAGGCCAAAGGAAAATCAATTTCATCAATGGATTTGTTAAGCTTTTTGGGTGGAAATAAAAGCTTGCGCATAAAATCCACAGTGTATATTATATAGTCCCTCAGCTGCTTGAAAAAAGAATAGCATAAATAATCCAACACTTGTTTTTAGGTTTGCAACCAGCAATTCTAAAGTTGTCACAGCTGGGGGATCATCGTCAATTTGTTTACGTAGTGCATAAAGTAAATAAATGAGCTTGGCCAGCTCCAATTAATTACGTAAAATTAATGTTAACGGTATGAGAGATCTATAAAACAGTGGTGAAGATTGTACAATCCTTCAGCCACTGGATTGGCAGTGATATATATCAAGGTGGCTCGTTCTGTTCAGTGATCACTAGACTATTGATGTTGATACAAACATAGATCTGTACGGATAAATTCATAGAATGTGGAATCAAACCGAAATTTGTCTTCTGTTAATCGTCTTGGGAAGTTCTAAACAAAACATGTAAACCTTGTTAAGTTAAATTGCTATTTTCAATACACTGTACGTTATAAACATAGACAACCCAAAGTCTACTGATCACACGCAAGACGGTACAATGAAAATTTTGAAGATAGTAAAAAAAAAAAACACCATTATCACAACCAGAGGCTCTCGAGCGCAGTTCATAGTATAAGAGTATTAATTAGTGTTACACTTTTTATTCTCAAATCCTAAGTCTTTACATGTCTGCTTCACAGAGGGAGAGAGAGGGAGGGAGGGAGAGAGAGAGAGAGAGATATCGTCTGACCAAATAATAAATTAAAAATGTACAATTTCAAGGATAATTAATACTCTGTGCTAAGACATTAGGTCGGTGGAAATTCCAGTTAGCAGTGTTACAATTCTGTGTTCATTTGCTATGAAAACAATTCAAGAAATTATAGCAGGGCCAATAGATACATAACTGTGAAATGTTCGAGTGGCCATGCATGTTCCACTAACCTAATATTTACAAGATTCTATTTACGTTATTGCTTTCCTAATTTTGCTTTCGAGAGGGCAGTTTTATCAAAAAATTCACCTCTCAAGAGATCAATCGAGTTATCAACATTTCAATCCCCTCCTTACCTATACGCTTCCATTAAAGATAGGAATGTCATAATAGATCTTGAATTGAACACCCTTTGTGTCACGTCATAAAAACAAAAATTAGAGGTTTATATCCATAAACCACTGTACAGTCCACTACAATGTTCCAAAAACACTTTTCTGTAATACTATGTCTCTCGAACGAGGATTCAGTTGCACAAGGGTGATCATTTCCCTGGTACAGATACATCGGTTACAATACAAGTCTATCTGGTGATCCCATAAAGAATGTGGCTTTTCTGAGAATGGAATTCGCAAAGAATTTATATAATTCAACACCATTGTTTATCCTGCTTGAAGTATAGATCATCTTCAATACACGGATCTTCAGATAATGTTGCATCGAAACTTAAAATGCTTCAATTATTACAAAAAAGGACACTGCATTACTTATATGGGATCATTTGATATCCACTCGCAGCACCTCATGCTAAAAATGCATTAAAAAAATACGTTGGTACTATTATTATTATGGCATTCTTCAAGGTGTACAGAGGAGCCAAGGGTGCTGAACACCAGAGGCGTTCGAACAAGAGAAAAAATAAGATATAAGTTGTTTCGTTGAGAAGTATGTGACTGTAGAACGTACAGCTTTCTAGGGGGGGGGGGATTTTATTCCACTCCCTCGAGATCAGACACCACAATGAATTCCCTCGAACAATGTGAATTCACTCCACTAAGTTCGCTTCTTTTTTCTTTTGTTTTCTGTTTCTTAAAAAAAAATTGGTAAAACTTAAACGTCTACGCGAAAGCCGACAGGCGTTTTTATTTGGGAAATGAAAAAACTTATTTACAGGGACTATACAAAAAAAGAAGGGGGGAGGAGTGTGAGTGTGTGTGTGCCTTAAACGACGCATCTTAAAAAAATAGAATTAACTTACGGATTAAACTTAGAAACAGACCCTAAAATACATAGATTGGTCCCACGTCTATATCTCTTTCTTTTTTTTTTTTTTTTTGTTGCGTTCCGTCTGCATTTTCTTCGAGTGAAACAAAATGGGGTAGGTTAGCTGTTGTACACCTTAAAGTGATCTCCTACCAGAACGTATGTGTAATGTGTGTGTATACACGAGAGACGAAGCTACTGTACTCTGGGCGCGCTTGTAAAAACTAGTTTGTAAAAAAAGACTACACTCTACATGCGGTGTTATTATTTACAGATCGCGAAACTACACTTCAACGCTTTTTTCTATTATTTTTGTTTAGAATATATGTTCCTGTGTCTTCTTCCTTTCTCTCTTTCTCTCATCGCGTGTAAACACCCAAGAGAAACGTCAAGTGGAGAAAATACCATACAAGAGTGTCAGAGGTCGCGTGAAACGTGTTGTCAACTATTTGGTCCAGAGGACTGAAGTATCCATAGGAGAAGTTATTTACAGAATTTTACAGCGAACAAAGGAGAATATTAACGCCACAAAAACTGATCTGTGTTTTGTAAACTAACGAAAACAATCTACACTCGTGACTCTTCCCTCGATTTTTCTCTGATATGTAGTCCCATCGTGACACAATTTCCAAGGTTTTGTCACGCTGCTGTTAACCCATATAACTGCCACGATACTGGATAGCCTCAACATTACAAAAAAGGGGGTTTATAACCACGTATTATTCCATTGGAGTTCAAGTGAGATTAACCTTAAGGAAAAATTATTTTTCAATTTTCTATCGGTTGTTTGGGTTGCATTCTTACCAGTGGTGGCAGTGTAAGGATCAAGGAAGCATACATTAGCTTAATGAACATCTTAACTGGTACGAGAAAACAGAAAAAAGAACAACTGTAACATGTATGTACACTGATATGCAAACTTTGCTTCTGATAGGGGAAGAAATGATGTAAGGGAAAGACCTCCTACCGCTTGGTTTCGGAGTTACTGAAATTTATGCGGAATTAACATTTATTCCAGTGCATGTATTATCAACTGGTAAAAGGCTCTTCCCCTACGTCACTTTTTCCCCCAGTGGAAGCCGAGTTTGAAGGTACATATACATATGTGGTCGCTGTCTAATTTAAAAGAACAAAAATATAAGAGAATAATTACACATTCGACGCGAGAGTCGTTTAGCTCCATAGGCCTAATAGACCAAAATGAACTCGATGAATGTGTTTTCGACGTTACGTTTAATAAAAGCTACGAGAAAGGACGGAGAGAGAGAGAGAGAGAGAGAGAGAAAAAGAAGAAAAAATAAAATACAGAAATGCAAAGAACGAGAATTATACCGAAGCGTTGTCGGGAACGCAGAGAAGATATTATATTCTTGTTTAAATCAGGTATACGATATATTCCCAACCGCCCCTTTTTACTACTGTATTTAGTATATGCTACAAAATTTTACAAAATTCCGATCATCCCCTATAGCTGTCGCGATTTTTGTACTCTCTACTTGTCCTCGTTAATATTAATATGCGAAAGTCTAAGTAACTTCATTTCACTTATCCGTCAGGTATACAAAAGAACGCGGGAAACATTTACAATTAATTGCTTCGTAGTCCAGCAATGTGTAAAAAAAAAAAAAAAGGTATATAATACATCAGTCTGGCCAAGACGCTGACCAAAATACTTATCGACCCTTAAAGTAAACCACTAACGTACACGCTCCTCTTTTTCATTATACTCGTACAATTTTTTTGTTTTCTTAATCTCCTCGTCCGGATCACGAGCTACGACCATGTATATACTATTTTCTCGAAGTCGTGGAAAACCAGTTCTCGTCAACTGTATAAAAAAAATGTGTCCTTTGGAGGAGCACTAGGTACCGGGCTGTGTATCTATGTTTCAATTTAAAACAAAAAATAACTGAAGAAGTTTTGAAACAGCGCACATTGTGTAACTCTGACAATGTCCGAGAGGAAAATAATTGACACGCGCGATTATGAATTTCATGAATAAAACGAAAGTTTAACACATCCACGACAGAGGATCCACCGATCAGGAATCTAAAACTGGTAACCGAAAATGCGTTTCATTTAACTGTCACTTCAAATCGCCATAGGATGGTGGTTTGTAGTATGCAAAAGGTTATGTTGTCGACTGCGGTTACCAGATTTAAATATTTTCCTTATTTTGGAATTGAGGGGCTCCAGTGGAGAAGCTACAGATGCCACATCTATGTCGGTTTTTAGCTTCTTGCACCATCAATAAGCCCTAACCTTACTTTTTCTAAAAAGTGATGGTGTAAATTTATAGTATTATCGCATGTTGCCCTCTTGTACAAAGCCCCTCAATTACCAATAGTCGTAAAAGTGTCACAGATAAAAAGATAAAGACCGGCTACATTCCATCCGAATGTAGAAGTAAAGTAAAATGTCGCCCCCCTGTTCCTCTCGAGGAAAGACTCCTGTGACTAACCACTCGTGAAGATTCGTCCAGAAGCTGTTCGGACCTTGGTGTAAAAAATTATAACATCATGATCGAATGTTCCGGTACAAAAATAGAAAAAATGTGCAAGCTTCGTGGTAAAATAACATTTATATTACGGCCAAGCAGCTTCTCGATGATCTCCTGGACCACAAGTCGTATTTCTACAGGCACAGGAGTCCTTCCAGCTCCGTAGATTTGCTCGATTGTGTTATTTACACGTGGACAGAAAATCGATAAATGTACACGTATACGACAAACCGTACGGAAAATTCATTGAACAGAACAGAAAAGGGGCTGACAGACACCTCCATTAAGGAATCTCCTTAACGATCATAACGTATACATACGGTGTCAACTGTCTTCCTCTCTATTTTCCCTATAGATAGATTCACGTTCTCGCCGGCTCGTGTTATGTCGATGGATACATATACATATATATATAAAACTAGAAATTTAAGAGTCTTACTTAACCGAGCCTGAGTTCAATCTATCTTAAGGAACGAGCCATTACCAGCCCCAGCTCGCAGTAAGAGAGGAGTTTTTCTCCTGGACGTGGTCACTGGTTGATACACGTAATTTCCCTGTATCGCTCCTGTTAACGTCTTCTGCCTCTTCGTGCTCGGGCTGAGCTCGTACTCGAACGCTTCCTGCTTCGAGATGTTCAGCTGCATGTGCAACGCCTCCTTATTGTCCTCTATGTCGATCTCGTCGTACAGATGCTCCACGATATCGATATCACAGTCCTGGCTGCTCTCGTCGTAACTGTCTGTCACAGAGTTCGCAGCTATATGACTGTGAACGGACTCGTCGTAGGTCGTGCTCTCCTCGACCGCCTCGTCACCCGAGCTTTCAGTTTCCTCCGACATGTCCCCGCTGCCAGCATACTTCATTTCGCCTCTTTCGAGGAGCTCCAAATGATCTGGACAGATCATCGCTTTCTTGATAGCCAATGGATCCTTCCTGGACCATTTCTGCACCTCCTCGTCCATTTTCGCCACTTTCGCCGGATTTATCGCCCACAGGCAGCCCTTCCTCTGGTTCCCATTCCCAGCTGGCTTCTCGATCTTCTCGAAACACTTGTTCAGAGACAGATTATGCCTGACCGAGTTCTTCCAGCCGTTCGGCGCCGTTTTGAAGTACGGGAAATGCTCGCTGCAAAGAGGTTATGTTAAGTTAGTCGCCTTGAATAAACAGAATTTCGTACGGTGGCCTTTAAAGGTGTAAAAATTCGTCTTCCGCGGCATAAGAGAAAGATCTCCTACCACTTGGTAAATTTATTTCAAGTATTTGTTTACCTGCACCGCTGAATAATGTTTTTAATTTTGTTTAAATTTGACGCTATAAACTTGAATTCAGAACATTTTCCCTGTCAAAAGTTTAGGCTCAATTATTTAAAAAAAACGTAAATAATGCTGGAAAAAACATTTGTAAAATGAAAAATACTTTTCTAGGAGTAAACAGAAAGACTCGATTTCATGGACTTTTGTCTAAGATTGTACCTCCGATACATCCTTAATAATATTCTGAATATTTGTTGATAACATTTTGAAATTTTCAATCGACAGTATTGGCGACAATGGTACAAGGGGTAGTTGAGAGGTACTGATAGAGGGGTGAGGAAACGTGGCGTGCTAGTTAAACAAAGAACCGCGCGTGGCACTTTCTATGGGGACTGTACTCATCTGGCCGTGCACCTGGTGCTATGTGTGTGTGTACGTGTGTGTGCAAGAGCCCCATACAAAATGGCAGTTTCCCCCCCTGTGTAACCTGGGAATAAAGAAGGGACGACAATACTTTCTCTCCCCCTTCGTGAGCTAAACAACCGTAGGGCTCTCTTCGAGGCCAGCCCCTTGTATCCCAGCCGACCGAATGGTCGAAAATAGGCGAATAGGTCGAGCGAACGCGTCAAATAGAAATCTTTTTTAGGCTTCTATTGTTCAGCCAGCGTATCAAAAATCTATTAATCACGCTTCAACCCTCTCCCCTCCAAAGGGACTCTGTTTTCTTCCATCTTTTTTTCTCTCAAAACTCGAAACATTTGATCCTAACCTTGTATTCCACACGCCTCGACATACCGGTCATTTGCTGCACCAATGGCACAGCTAAAGATTTCCAAATTTACCGATTTTTCAACTCTATTCCTCTGGCTTCTGTGGACACTTACCACATGAAATTATAGATCTCTGACACGGGCAGAGAGCCGGTCTGACTGTTCTTCAACGCCATGGCGATCAGACAGGAATAAGAGTACGCTGGTTTAGGGTACGCCTTGTCGTCGTAGTCGGACAGATCGAACTCCTTCTCCCGTTTCATCACTGCTGCGACCGTGGCAGTCGTTCCCGGGCTGACGTGTACATTATTATTGTAGATCTGTTTCCGTAAGTGTTGGGACGTTTGGCTCGGACTTTGCAGCACCTTGAAGTTCTGTACCCTGATGCTCTGGACACCGTTCAATTTCGGGGTGGTCGTCTGTGGGGTCCTGGCGAACTGCGGTGACGTGGTCTTCGCTGTTGTTATCGCGACCACCGTTTTCGACTTGGTCGGCGTCACCGGTTTCGCGATCTCCTGCTCGTCCTCGGTGTCATCTTCCGTTTCCGTGATGTCGTTCTCGTACTGCTCGGTCTCGGTGTCGTTCTCGATGTCCTGCTCTTGCTCGTTGTCGTTCTCGTTCTCGGTGCAGCTGCCAGCCTCGTTCTCGTCCTCCTCGTCGTCGTCCTCCACGTCGATCCTCTCCTCCTTGATGTCCCTCTTCGGCGAGAACGCGAAATGCCGCCTGGCGTTGCTCGGCGTCGGGCTACGGACCGCAATGTGCGGCATCACCGAATTCGGATTCACCATTATGGAGGCAGCGTCGCCGCCGCTCAGATCCAAATTGAAGTTGCTGAAACAATAACCACTCTTGGTCAAAAGTTGGACAGGTATAGATAACCTAAATTCTTTGGATACTTGATGATTGTGAGGTTAGGAGCTACAAGTGACAGATGTGTCAGGCATCTGAACCTTATTTGTAACACATTACTGACTGGCAGTCTATTAATTTACCCTTAGATCAGGGGTAAAGGGAAGAACAACAGTTGGACAGAAGTTGGACACTTATAGATAACCTAAGTTTCAGGGATGCTTAGTGATCGTGAGGCTGGAATCTACCAATGACAGATGTGCCAGACATTTGAATCTTATATTTAACACATTACTGGTAGCCTGTTAATAGACATTTAAGTTCCAGTGCTTATAAATGAGAAGCCTGTTAATTTACCCCTAGATCAGTGTTAAAGAAGAAAGCGACACACTATTTTATTAGAGTTCTTGCTGTTCTTCATGAATATATGTGGCTACTGTGATTTAACTGTTTATCTAGTAAGTCTATCAATAATAATGTGTTTAACAATGAAATTTGTAAACACCTGTTTGAGCTGTTGCTGTTCCCGTTCAGCAAGCTGGTGGACCCGAACCATCCGCTCAGATCGTTCTGGCAACCGATCGGATCGTCGTCCATCTCCAAGGTGGACATGTCCGTGAAATTGAAGCCCAACTCAGGGTGACCGCCGATTACGCCCTCGATCTCGCATTTAATGTCCACGTCCAGCATCTCCTGGAGGGACAGACTGTCTGTGCCGAGGTAGTAATCCATCGTGAGCCAGGGGTCCCTTGACGGTCCCTGATCCAGCCCAGTACTGTGCCTGCTCTCCGTATCCAACATTCACCTGGCTGAAAAATTAAAAGTCACACCCCGATGAGACCAATTTGGTTCCTACGGAGAATCTTTGGGTCAGGAGTCTGTCTACAAAAGCTCTGGAGTCTCGGAATATACAGGGTGTCCCACGTAAGTGTGAACTTCGCATAAAATTGTGTTAAACAAAACTTGAACTATACTTAAGTGTGCATAATTTTTGTAAATCAGAATTTCTTTACTTCTATTACCTTCTTTTTCATTTTTTTATTAGAACCAGTAGCGACAAATCCAACGACTATAAATACGTCACAAAGAAAATATAAATAACGTAACAAAAATGGTATAGTTTCATTTACAAAACAAAAGGTAAAAGCAGGTAAACGTAGTTCAACTTTTGTCTGACACAATTTTTCGGTAAAATTCAAGGAGATTCCAGAAATTTCGGGGACACCCTGTATATTACCCAAACACTGATGTTAGGCTATAAATATTGGAACACAAATATTATTCTCGATTCTGCAGTACATACGTGAAGGGGAAAATGAATTTTTCAGGGAATATAATCCTTGAAATGAGAAAAAAAGGGGGATCCTTTTGCAAAGAGCCCCTCTCTGTTTGCTGTATTCATGAGAATTGCTTTATTGGGTCGGTCTCTCGAAATATCGGTTTCATTAGAACTTGCTGTGTTCATCGATCATTTTCACACGGACGACTCCCCCATCCCCTCTCTATCCACTTTAATATTCAGCCTGCGCGAACTGCAGTTTGCAACTCGGCGGGTATAGGCGGCTCTGAGTTGTACGCTAATGAAAACGCGGTTGCAGGAGTCAACGGTCCGCAATAACGTGTATATACTGTGATTCGCGTCGCCGTCGAGACTGATATATTTGCAATCCATAACATTCAATGCATAAACAAACGTTGTTTATTTAAACTGAACAAAATGGCACCTTTGACATTAACAATTTTATTTATAGAATACTATTCTACAGGCAAACTGAATGCAAAAACAGTTAGATAAATAATTTACTAGAACTTAATATTGTTCCTTCTTAATTCTCTAATGGTAAAGTCCGGATCGTATCCGACCCAAGTTATAGTTTCTCTTATGCTGTGCTCGCTCTATTTTTTATTATTCTCGTTTTAAAACATTTTTCATTATTTAGTAAACATTTAATACTTATATTACTTTGTGTTGTATAACTCAATTATTATTCTTTATTATACAAATAAACAACAATACAAGTTCAAGATACAAACTTCTTTTTACCCGTCTAAAAATACCAAAAAGATCTCGGATGGGATCCGACCCTAAAACCCACCTCACCATTCGAGGGTACACAATTATCCCTTCTTAATAAAAAAAAAAAAAAATCATAACAGAAAAAAAGAATTTTATTTTCCATGTCTACGAAGGTAATATCCACGAAAATCTGAAGTCAGTACACTCTCAGTACCTCTATCGACAATTTATATTATCCGAAGTCAATATTTATTTACCTAGAATTTTCGAAAATCAATTTTCCCCCCAATTCATCCCACGAAAAATCTCGACGACTTTCTCCTATTTAAAGGATCATCCTCACAATTTCCTGTGGCAAGGCCAATAGATTCCTCGACCGTGTCCGTATATACGCGGTGACCTCGTGATCACGCGCACCACCACACGGTATATAACGTGCGCCGATGTGTGCGTACACCGAGAGTGTGCACGAACGTGCAACGAGGGTCTTGAACCCACAACCGGCTTGTGGGTGTGACTGACTCATAGTACTATAGTCGATTTACTATAGAAGCGCGTGGACTCTCGTAGTATTTCCCCCTCCCTCCCTCGCCCCGCACCACACCAACGACACACTCGTGCCTCCCCCCACTCCCTCCCAGGCGAGCTCTTACCTATTCCACGGCTTCCCTCTTCGTTCCGCGCGCCGAACCCCCGCCCCCTCATACTTTCCGCCCCGCCCCTCCGTGCCCTCCGCCACCCGATCGTGTGCTTGTCCGTGGCTCTCGCGGCGAACGGACCCGTAAGGAAGAACCACTGTACCACCGTTGCGCTCTTTGATCCTTCCTCTCTTGGTTCCGCGCGCGCTGAGCCCTCGGCCACTGCCGTAGACTCCCGTGGTCGGTTCCCTCCGTCTCTCTCTCCTACGCGTTTTTATCCGACAACCCTTTTTCCACGTCTGTTTCTTCGAACACGTCTGTGATGTGTCCTATCCCCTCCGTACCCTCGCCAACCCAGAGACTCCTTGCCTGGCGCTCGATGATCCTGTGGAGCTAATGACTGCACCCCCCCCCTCCCCCCTCAACGTTACACCTTTGTTCTCCTAGCGCGGATCTCGAGGGAGAAACGATGTTTATTCTGGGCGTTCCGTATACTGGATGAATCTTCTTTGGGGAGAAAGAGATCCTGGATTCATTTTGGTATTCTAAGATTCTTTTTTAATGTATTGAAATTTTGGATGCGTTGGTGTTAGGAGAAATTTTAACACTCGAAATTTTACGACTGGGCCAAGAGTGCGCTGCAAATGGCTCTCACGGGACGATATCTCCTCGTGTCACCTGGTGCCTCTCTAAATGTCGTCTGAACATCACCTAAAGCAAACCAGACGATCCTACAGTAATGCCTCGATGAGTGCGACGTACTCGGGTCCACTCGAAACTGGAAACGTTTTTAGCCCCTAATAAATTTGTTTCTTGTCCGAAACCGAGCCTCTGCTAGCTTCTGTTTGCTCTGTTTTGATTGGGTACACTCGTGTCGCGTTCATCGAGGAATCACTGTATTTGGAGAATTGTCCGCTAATTAAACGCTGCTTCGAGCCAGCCAAATGACAGGATCTTGCGAGAGCCCTATCGAGACGTAAGTTTTCGTCGAATCTCGAGGATCCGTTTTTCGACGGCTGAGGGAAATAAAATCCACGATGATCTTGACTCGCCTGAATCGTCTACTCGTGTAAACCGAACGGTTCCTGACTCGCTGCAGCCGCGAACCCGGGTGCTGTTTTCACGGACTAGTAATCGCAATGGATACACGTCGCGATCGGAGCGTAACGACGGTCTCCAATTACCCCTTCGTTCGCGTCGTGAGAAGCCCGCCACCGTGCTTTATATACGATAGGTTCTCACGATACGGGATCTAATATTCCCGGATGAGCGATGCAATACACCCGTAAGACTGACGATTTAGGGGAGAAGCACTGTTTATAGAGAAAAACAAAATGGCGGACAGTGAGCCAACTTGAATTAAGAATTAAGTTAATTAATAAGACATCAGAATGACACTTCCTAGCAGGGCAGGATTAAAATTCTTGGGACCTGCGGCCATCAAACCTTCGAGGGTCCCTTTGCTTGAAAAACGGCTTGGAGTTTTTCTAATAAAACGTACAATAAAATAGAGTCTTCAAACATTGAAATTTAATTCTAAATAAAGTTAAATATCATTTAACCGTTTGCTCAGCAGGAACTACATTTAGTGTAATTCCCAAGTATTTCAAAAGGGAAATAGTAAATGAAGTTTCATTCAATTATTTTTTGGACATAAATCAAGGGCCCTGAGACCCCAAGAACCCTCCACCCGATCTGGCGCTGCAGTGACCCTAATTGCCGCAGCAAATGGTTAGAGATGCATGTACACGATATCTGTGCATTCCATTTTGCCTCGAAGTATATACATTCAAGCGTTTCCATCTGTCCGGTTCTAAATAACGGCGCCGAAAATCCTGCGCGCGGGCGCGTCTCGGGAGAGATAAATTACACACTGAATGGAAATTCCAGTCGGGGCCAGAGGGGGTATGGGTAAAGAAGAAAAAAAAAACGAGCAGCAGGAAGCTCTCGGATGAAGGCAGGAAGGAAAAACAGGCCAGACGTTTGATGCAAGCGACCAGACGTCTCTGTCTGCGCGGGGGGCTGGCGGATCGCGAGCTCGCGTGAAACGTACGTTTCTGGCGGCCGACGCGACGACGATGCCAGACTCAAAAACAGACGAAAATAAAGCGGCCAAGGACCCAAGGTTGTTGTCCGTGCCTGGTTTCGCGAGTTGAAAGACCGATTAGCAAGCGAGACGGGGACTGCAAGCACTGACGCATACTATCTACAAATAATACAACGTTGGACGTGCTGTTTAATTTTCGCCCCGCCGGTGGGCGGGTCATCTTTGACCCGTGTTTGTATTACAAATACAGAGAAGAGAATGTATTCCCTAGATATCACATGCATTATGGATTTAATCTAATTTGAAAGTACGTGTAATAAAATTTCACGTACGGATCGATAGTGACCCAGCATTCGGCGGACGCGGCCTTACGATCGAAGAACAATGATCATCCCAATCTGTAAGCTTTCCAGTTACGGCCCTGGGGCCGCCGTTCAATGTCTTTGGCGAAAACTTGACCGCGAGGGACGCACACAGGCGAAACGGACCTTGAAAAAGAATGCTCGGCTTGCCCTGTCGTAATAATATCGCGCGGGGGGTATCAAATGATCGTTCCCGACGAGAAAACGACCGGGTTCAGTCGGTGGTCGTCCCAGAAACGCGAGAAATTCGACCACCAGCCAAAATCAAGACGGGAATAATCGATTTTGTCCGATGACCGAGTTAAGAGCAGAAAAAAAAGAGTGGGTATACCCAAGACACCATTTATGTGACCCCAACTGGCCGAAGACGATGGGATTTCAGTTTCCTGATTGAACTTTTAAAATCGAAAACATTGATTTTCACTTGAATCAACCAGTATTAAAGAAAGTATCTAGCCTACGAAACACTCTAAAAAAAAAAAACGAGAATTCTCTGATAGGTCAAACACACTATGTGGAAAGACCCCTTTAGGCCCAATAATCGAATTGTTCATCGATATTTCAGGATAAAATAAATGGGCTTTTACTCTGCAGGTGGCCATCTGCTGGAAAGACAGAGGGCCCCGAAAATTGTATCTGGTTCATGCAACAGGATAATCTTTCCACCCCCCCCTTCCTGTACCCGGTTGGCTCCTCTTCAGCTCGAGTTCCGAGAAGGGTCCCCTCGAGCGACAAACGATCCTTG